TCATTATCCTCCCTTGTATTTATCCATATGTTGTAGTTATCCTAATCATTATAGGATTAGGATAATCATCCCCTTTATTTGTAGCAATCCTTATCTCCTAAGGAATATGCTTTATTCTCTTGTATGTATATATATATGTGTAACCACGTGATTAATAATACAATGAGAGTTACAACCTTCTTCTTTATTCTTTAACACTTTTGTAGTTTATTATTGGTTTTGTCTGTTATGTTTAAAAATGATGTGGCATAGTATATAGGATAATGGCTTTTGGTTGAGTGATTTGTGATTTAGGGTCCGACTGGTTTCCCCGCTACCACCCGCAAACGCAGCTTTTGCGGTTGATGGCGGTTGCTAGCGTTTTACAACAATCACAAAAACCGCTACAAATCGCTTCAAACCGCTCCTAACCTCTTAAAATCAAAAGCTGGTTTCAGCTAGCGTTTACGTTTGCGGGCGATTGTGGGTGGGTAAAAAAAATATTTTTCTTTTAAATTTAAATTTAAATTAAAATATAAAATATAAAAATAATATAACTAAAACTATATCTATCTTTTATTTTTTAATTTAAATTCACTAAAAATATCATAATCTATTATAGAAACTTTAAATCAAGAATTTTCACTATATTTTTCAATATTAAATATATAAATATATAAATATATAAATATATAAATATATAAATATATAAATATATAAATATATAAATATATAAATATATAAATATATAAATATATAAATATATAAATATATAAATATATAAATATATAAATATATAAATATATAAATATATAAATATATAAATATATAAATATATAAATATATAAATATATAAATATATAAATATATAAATATATAAATATATAAATATATAAATATATAAATATATAAATATATAAATATATAAATAGATAAATAGATAAATAGATAAATATATAAATACATAAATATATAATTAATTATATTAGAATATTTTATTAATTATAGAAATTATATTTTCATCTAAATAAAAAATAATAAAATAATATTGTTATTACTTATAATATACTAACAGTTATTATTTCTTATCATAACAGTATGTTTTGATATTTTTATAATGTTATAATATGTTAATATTGGAAATTTATTATTGAACCGCTGTAGTATCCCATAATCAACCAGTCATAAATGTCCCGCAAACGCACCAGTTTTTAATCGCTATACCAGTCGTACAAATCGCCTAATAACGCTAGAAACCGCAACCACCCACATCCGCAAACTCCCGCAACCGCAATCGCAACCGCCGCGTTTCAACCAGTCGGACCCTTAGTATATAGGATAACAGCTTTTCAGAGATATCAGGAGGCAAAAGATACATGGAATAGAGGAAATAAAAAGTGTGTGGGTTCTTAGAGGTAAAAGGTGTTTTCTTAGTAATACAATCGTACTGTATTTGCCACGGATATATAAATGCTAAAATTGTGGTACTTTTTTTTTTTAAATAATATTGTTATTACTTATAATATACTAACAGTTATTATTTCTTATCATAACAGTATGTTTTGATATTTTTATAATGTTATAATATGTTAATATTGGAAATTTATTATTGAACCGCTGTAGTATCCCATAATCAACCCGTCATAAATGTCCCGCAAACGCACTAGTTTTTAATCGCTATACCAGTCGTACAAATCGCCTAATAACGCTAGAAACCGCAACCACCCACATCCGCAAACTCCCGCAACCGCAATCGCAACCGCCGCGTTTCAACCAGTCGGACCCTTAGTATATAGGATAACAGCTTTTCAGAGATATCAGGAGGCAAAAGATACATGGAATAGAAGAAATAAAAAGTGTGTGGGTTCTTAGAGGTAAAAGGTGTTTTCTTAGTAATACAATCGTACTGTATTTGCCACGGATATATAAATGCTAAAATTGTGGTAGTTTTTTTTTTTGGAAATTGGTGGTTAGTGGTGAGTGGCGAGATGGACTAAAAAGAAATTTTAGATTTTGTTCAGTAAATATTTAATCTGGCTAGTAATTTTTTTTATAACACTAGAACATGTAGTATTAATCTTTGTGATACAAAGCAAAAAATCAGAAAATAAATAGGGTGTTAATAGACACCACAAAAACAAGAAGAAAGAAAGAAAATCTCACCCCTTCCCATTTTTGTCGAATTAAAACACTATTATTTGTTATGATTTTGCTAGTAATGTGTTATGATTTTGCTTTTGTAGTTTATTATTTGTGTTTGGCTATTTTATTTTAAAACTGACTAGATTTTGATCCGCGCTACCGCGCGGATGTTTATTTTTGTTTATAGTTAGTTATATAAACAATTTTTTTCACTTGTAAATTGGTATATATTATAGTAATCACATATTTACGATATGTATAGTAAATGTTTTTCAAACCTAATAATATTATATAATGAGTGTTTTAATTAAATAGATTGTTTCAAAATTTCTTTATAATACATGTTTTTCAAACATGTGTTTGTTTTTTCTTCTATATTTTATTCTTTGTTAGATTAGTATTTCATTTTTAGATAAAGTAATATAAATAGAGCTTGATTAAATATTAGTGTATTTTAATTTGCAAATATAATATAAACTTCGAAGAAACGTTTGTTTTTTCTTCTATATTTTATTGTTTGTTAGATTAATATTTCATTTTTAAATAAAGTAATATAAATAGAGCTTGATTAAATATTAGTGTATTTTAATTTGCAAAGATAATATAAAATTCGAAGAAATTTTTGCTAAAAATTAAACTTATAGTTTCATAAATTAATATTATAAATAACTTTATTAAAAAAAACAATTTCTTAAACAATTTTTTTAAACAATATAATTTTAAAAATTTACATCGAAATAAATTTATCTAATATATGTAGCGTGTAAATTTTGTTAAGGTATATAAATATTTCATATTACTAATCTATGATTTTTGTTAATATATTGTGAATGCATTTAACTATTATTGACATATTTCCTTCTAAATAATAGAAGATTCCTAAACTTATATCTATTCACATATTTTGTGTGACTAAGTTGGAAGGTGTGGGGTATTTACCAAAACCAAATTGTTAAGCGTATTATAAACTATAATAATGATAAGATTATTAGAGAGTTAATGTAACATAAGTTTCTAGTAATAGTCTATTTTTAAAAAAATCACACATAAATCAAGTCATGATTTCTGTTTTAATATATAAGATGTGGTATAGTATAATTGGTTGAGTTATTTGTGATTTAGTATATAAAAAATAATTGACTGCTTATAATGACGAGAGGATCATATTTGGATGTCACTTAGAAAAGAAGCATGCATTCGATGAAACAGTTTATTACGCAACCTTAAAACATTCACACTAAGTTTAAACCTTTAAGTAAACTACCAGGTATTTTTGGTCATCTGATAGATAATATTGGACTTGAAATTTTACAAATAAGCCACCAAGGATCGCAATCGAAGTCTTTATGGAGCCAAACGATAAAAATGTGGAAATTGATCGAAAAATAGAAGCAATATACGCAAAGAATATACACCTCCAGGGGAACGTAAATGATGTAGAATCTAACAGTTTAAGCCTTGTGAATCTTTTGGCTGCTCTGATCTGAAAGAATCTGCTTTGTCTTTTCCAGAACTCCAAAGAAAATTGAACCTCCAATACCTATCCACAAAACCCTTGGACCCATTCCCTGTATAGTACAGTGAGTCTCAGACTTTATCAGCAACTTTTCACAAAAATGAGAAAACTTGTACCGCAAAAAAAATCCATCATAATGCCCTATTGAATGTGGAAAGAGAAGAAATGAATCCACCTTCCACAAAGCTGACGACCCTTCTTCTCTTAATATCGTCTTAACGCAATCCGAGACCCCTTTATACTGATTCCCTGCGCCCTGCCAAATGTCGAAACGAAAAATGGAAATCCATCCAAGAAGAACATTCGTGTTCATTCGTTTTGACATACCTGAACCATTAGTCTGGTTTTGATAACGTCTAGAGGAGTGGTCAAAACTCCAGTGACAACACCAGCAACGGCACCAAGCATTGCGTTCTCTGGATCATTCAGGTCTCTTCTCGCCTGTTCTAAACATGATGGATATCTATTAACGGTCATAAGCCAGCAGAAGCAGATGTTCTTTTTCACTTATGAATGTAACAACAAAAGCTTACAGCTAACTTGTATCCAATCCGTAACTGCTCATATACACAAAACTGAAGCGCGTCAAAAGGCAAATCTCGCAGCAAGAAAGAGCCGAATCCCTGCACGTTTGGACAAGTAAGATGAAGCGTTTACTATTTGTTCATCTTAACACGATACAATTAATTGAACGAAAACCTCAAGTAGTGTCTGCTGAGAAGCAAATAGTAAAACAGTAGAATTACAAATCAAGAAACAACATATATACCGCATACATGCCTCCGAATCCTTCTTTGGCTATAATAAGTCGAACAGCATCAGGTGCCGAAGCAAATTGTCCAGTTTGCATCCGCTGTTTAACAACCTGTTGAAATTTCGATTAGCATGATCTATACAAAGCATACAACCTATACAGAATAATAAGAAGAAAGAAGCTTACTTCGGTTGGTACACGGACAATAGATGAAACAGCACCTCCTAAAGCACCTGCAGCCTGATTCAACTCGCTAAGACACAATTCCTTTTTCAACAGATCATACTAGATTCTAAGGGCATCTGTCTCAGATCAGTAAGTTTTAAAACTAAATGGTAGCAAAACTCATGTACAAAGCCTGAGAACTGAGAAGACAGACTAATATATGATTGGTTATTGTAGGACTCTTATAAGTTTGCACATACCAAATGTGCAACCGCGCTAAAATTTTCAGGTAGAACCTTCAGAAGCTTCTGTTTGGTTGGTTCATATACACCGAAAAACAAGGCAGAAGCACTGCACATGAAAAAATACTATTATTTCATCTGAAAACAAGAGTCACAACAAGCGCTTTAACCAGCTAGATCATGTTATTTTCTTTTTTGAGTAATTACTTACGGTAAGACACCAGCAAGGTTTCCACCAAGACCAGAGTATAAACCTTTCCATATAATCTTCCCTCCATCTCGAGCTACCTAAGACATGTCAAACCAAAAATACAGTTGGTAACTGAAAGTCAAACACAAAGTGTAGAGAGGAGAAACATACCTGCACTCGAGTTTTGATTGTGTCAATTGGGTATAGAGAAGCTTCCACAACAAGACCAGCTAATCCTCCTGCTATTAGACTCTCTACAAACAACAATTCAATCAGATTAATTGGTATTTTTTTTTATAAAACAGTCTCATTTAGATGTGTTTTGCAACTGTTTACCATAAAGGACACGCAAGAAATGGCATGGATCATCCTGTTTAACACAGATTGTGCCACCGCAACCATTAATCTGCTTCTTGATAGTATTGTTGAATCCCAATTTATCTACGATTAAAAAAACATGAAGAATCAATTAAAAAATGTATACTTTTGCAACGAAACTGATTGTCTTTAGAGAAAGAAGGCATGTCTTCAATCACAAGGATCAGAAGATACTCTTAAAATTGTTTGTGGACATGACCACTTTTAGTATCTTAGAGATAAACTTTGTTCTTTATATTTAAATCAAATTATCAATTCAGAACAGCAAGGGGAGCACAAAATATAAACTTTATGTGTAACATTTCACCATTCTAACACTAAAATCTAAATATAGAGCGACCAGAGTATGGGACATCCGGTTGATTTGAATGGGGGGTGGGGGGGATTACCAGGAAAAGCTGTCTGAGATCCATCTCCGCTACTGGAAACAATGCCACGATCCATCTGATTAATTGAAAAGAAAAAAAAAAAGAAAAAATGAATTGAAGAGGAAAATGAAATCAAAGAGCAGATAATAAAATATTAGAAGATGAAGATCTAACCCGAAAAATTTACACAGCTAGCGAGCTAGAGCAACAGAACAGTAGCAGTCTTGCAGAGGGATTTCATCGTCATAAACCCTCCTCGTAATGCGGAAATTTATCATTCAAACCGAACCGGTTCGACCGGTCTAATTGTCTAATCAACACTTTTTTAGATGGTCTGAAATCGAATAAAACAGAGAGAGAGAGTGTGTGCGTTGATTCTGAGTTCTGACAAAAGACATCTCCAACAAAGGAACCAAGAAAATTAAATGAAAAAGTAAAATAATCTTCACATCGTTTTTATCACGAGCCCAAAATTCTCTTGCCTCTATTATTCTAGTTGATCTACAAAGAGATTCTCTTCGTTTTCTCCAATAATATTTTCCCAGGGCTATCCTCTAGGTAAAGATTCATCATCGCATTTCTTTTCTTCTTAAGGTCGATTCGAAATTCATCATGCACTGGAACAGATAAACTTGTCTTTCTTTGAATCCTGGCCTTAGATTTGTCATCCATCCACCCATTGATAAAAGATCACTTCTTCTCTTTTTTTTTTTTGATAAAAGATAACTTCAGACCAGAGATTTGTTTGCGTTTACTCATTAAGTTGTTAAAAAAATTTCAGTAGATTTACTATACTGTTGAATCAGTTAAGTTGATTAAGGTTTGATATAAACTCAACTTACAAAAAGACTTTTTGGAGGTCTAGGCATGCATCATTTGGTCAAACATTTACCAGAAAAAATGAAGTAACTTTATCTGTATAATTACTTTTTAACCCTTTTAATATTTTAGGGTTTTAGCTTTAAGACAACGAGCCTAAAATTTTGGCAATAAAATTCTGCCAGGGTTATTTTAACCTCAACCTGTTGTTAGAATCAAAACTGTCTTTCTCTCGATCTTTCTTGGTTGTTAAAATGTTTCGTAAAGCAGAGAGCTTTTTGTCGTAGCTTCTTCCAGACATCACAGAACTTGGGGAGAGATAAAAAAGAAATGGGCATAGGAGTGTTGGGTCTAATCCCAGTTTCATCCCCAGACAGTCTACGGAAAGTACTTGAAACACTTTCGGGAAAATGGGGAGATGTAGTTGAAGATCTCGAGAGGATTCAGGTGCAACCCATGAAAGGCGCAATGACTAACCAAGTTTTCATGGTGAATTGGCCCACTAAGGATAACCATTTTCAACACATGAAGCTTCTTGTTCGAGTTTATGGCCACGGAGTTGATCTGTTCTTCGACAAGAAAGACGAGATTCGTACGTTCGAGGGTCACAGTCCTAGACTCCTTGGTCGGATCGAGGAGTTTATCAATGCTCGGGTATGTATGTTCCTCTATAACCTTGCGGTTTACTTGCGCATTGATCCACTAACTCCAAGCACACGACAGTGTTGAGTCTGATTTTTGACTTTCCGGAGATCCCATTAACCTTTTGATTGTAATTCTTCTTGGATATTTTGGTTCAGTGTCGAACCGGGAAATACCAATTGAGGCATGCCCGGTTTAGCTGTGTACTGTCAGAGATGCTGGTGATGGTCATTTTTGATTCATCAGCATGATTTTTGTTTATCTATTTCAACTGCGTTTCTATGAATTTTGAACAGACTCTATCTATCGATGATTTACGTGATCCAGAAGTATCTGCTCTTGTTGCGGCTAAGCTTAGAGAATTTCATGGCATAAACGTTCCTGGTAATGGAAATGTGCTCCTTTGGGATAGAATGATGTGCATACTCTTTCTTTATAATAGGATGTACTACTGGGCACAAATGCTTGATACTTGGCTTGTACTCGCTACTTGACTCGGTTTGGTTTGAAAAAACAAATGCTTGCTCCAATCAAGTCGAGTAACAATTAAACAAATTTTATTATTCGCAAGTACAAGTCAAGTATCAAGTTCATTTTAATTTTTAACTAATTGGTTTATTACTTGTTACTTGTCATATATTACTTGGTTTATTAAATACTTAATATAGATTTCATTAGTTAATTAAAATTTATGTTTTTTATGAGTGGTCACAATTATTTGTTACTTGTCTCATGTTCACTACTTGGTTGGTACACGATCCTTAAAGTCAAATACTTGTTTTAATACTTGTTTTGAGTAAGACGTGTATCAAATAGTCTATTTTAAACTGCCTTCAAATACAAATAAACACAAAATAATAAAATAAAACTAATTATTCAGCGTTGTTTGGTTTATTATTCGTTTTTGTTAACGAACAAAGGTACATTTTCCTAAATTATAGTAAAACAACTCGTTTATATTACAATTTTTATAAGCGATTCAAACATAAGTGATATATTTATACAAACACTTTGAAATTTTTTCTTTCTTAATATAATTTATTTCACGAACAACTAAAAATCAGAAAAAAATGACAAAATGAAAACAATGACATATTATTTATATATAATAAATTTATTTATCTTTAAATTTTAACTAATCATCAAATAATTTAGCAATAGTTATCAAGTAATTAGTAAAAAGTTTTCAAATAACAAGTAATAAAACAAGTCAATCAATTTTTTGCAAGTACTTGAAACTGCCAAGCCGAAAACTAAGTATAACGAAAATACCAAGTATTCGGCTTATGCCCACCTCTAATAGGATGAATTAAGTGGCCAAGTCAATAACATGATCTGTAAGAAAAAAAAAATATTGACAGGAATTGGCTAGAACAAGCCATGAGTCTGTGTACACCTGAAGATTCAGCAGAGTTTGGTCTAGAGAACATTGAAACAGAGATCAACTTTCTGGAATATAACCTAAAGTATGAGTATAAACAGCAGGAGATTGGGTTTTGTCATAATAATTTGCAGTATGGTAACATCATGATTGACGAAATTACCAGTGACATTACAATCATTGTAAGTTTTCTCATTGCTCTTCAAAATGTCACCATCATCACACATGAACCAACTTGAGATTCTATAACAGGACTACGAGTACGCGAGCTATAACCCAGTTGCATATGACATAGCAAATCACTTCTGTGAAATGGCGGCAAATTACCATTCTGACACTCCCCATATCTTGGATTACACTCTATACCCAGGTATTCACTAGTTAACCCGATTTGGGATCATAGACACCTAACATACGCCATTCGTATCTAAGTGGTTCTGACTTCTGAACCGATTGGCTAGGTTGCAGGAAAAGAAGAACGGGTGAGATTTATTCATAACTATCTCAGATCTTCAGGTCAGTTTCTCAAGGAATCACAGTTCCTTCTTCTTTGAGTCAAAACGTCTCGTGGACCAATGCGCCTACTTATTTTGGTAGGGGAGGATCCTAGAGAAGAAGAGATAAAACAGCTCTTGGAAGATGCTGAGAAGTACACATTGGCAAGCCATCTCTTCTGGGGATTATGGGGAATCATCTCTGTAAGATCTTTTCTTTGTTCCTTTCTGCTATAATCCTTCCAAGCCAAAATAAAACTGTTCTGAAATGTGAATGTAATTGTACAGGGACATGTGAAAAAGATCGATTTCGATTATGCTGAGTACTCAAGACAGAGGTTTAAACAGTTCTGTCTACGAGAACCCCAGCTCTTGCGATCCTTTTCTGTAAGGCGTATGTATAACTTGTCTTTAAACACAAAATGTTGTAATGAAAAGTTGTAACCGAATCTAACAAATTTCTAAAAATCAGTGGAAAGTCAAGCTTAGAAGTTGGAACCCTATTGAACCTGGTGTAAGCACCAAGTTGTCAAGGGCTTAAACAACTCCGATAGACAGATTCTTTAGCAACAGATGGATAGATATGGGGAAGATATTGATTAACTCTCTTAATTGGTGGTGAACCAGACTTTGCTTGAATCTCACAAACAATTCTAATCCAAAAATCTATAGAAACAACCTCAAAGACACATTTCTTTGAAAAAGAAAACAATCATAGAATAGGACACTTCTCTCTCCCTCTAACCTATCCATGTTAGCATTCCTTTTTTCTCTAAATGGGCCAATGAAACTATCAACTACTGATATAATTTAAAATCTCTTGAAATCAACTATTCACCAGAAGATAAACTAAACAACATTCACCTTCCTTCTTCTTCCTTTCTTAATTTCATCGCTCTCTCAGAAAAACAATTAAAAAGAAGACCAACCATCCTCATTACATGTACCGGCTCAGCTGGTGAAGATATTATCAGGATTCAATACTATTAATTACTACACCGAAAGTTTACTAAACGTCTACTCCAACCTTTCAGAAACTTCTCAATCTAATCTATATAAATACTTATCATATCGCGTAGATTGTGTAGTTAAAAGAAGTAGATTGAGTATTTATTTTTGCAAGGTTTTTCAGGAAGTAATCACGAGATTTGTCTCTTTTTCGACTTAATGATTACATGCTTGTGTTACTTGAAATCTTCCTACTGGCATGTGTTTCAATTTATTGAGCTGGTCTATGATTTCCAATGGTTTCACTCTACTCGTCAAATGAGAATTTTTATTTGTGATGATGTTTGTGAGTCAAAATGCCGAGTAGTCTTTCCATGATGTTTGACTTTCAAAGCTAATTCGATGTTGAAAAGTTTGGTAATTCTTCACCTCTTTTTCATGTTAGGATCCTTCACTCTCTAAATTATCCAAAAGTACTCAAGTTTTGCATGGTAAAAACTTCGATTATCTAGACAATTACAAACCTCTCTATGTTTAATTGATTCTGATTATCAGTTTTATGGACTCAGGTATGAAGCTACTTCTCACATGTGGTTAGTCCTGGAATATTGTGTTGGAGGTGATCTCAATACATTATTACAATACGTATTGATTGTTAACTTTCTTACTGATGGTGGGTAACATGTTTTCTGAAACTCACTTATTGTGCAAGACTTTAAGCTAGCCAGAAAGTTCAATTTATGGTCGTGCCTATGATGTTGTGGTAACCTTGCTATAATATCCTAAAAAATTCATAATAATTTCAAAATAACAGAAGTCAAGTTTTAAATGAGAAGTATTTATTTTATTTTTCATAGAAACGCACATTTGAAACATTAATTATTTCAGTGAATTTATGAAGTCATGCAAAGGAAGAGAGAAGAGAGAAAATGAAGCAGAACACTTTCAAAGAAGCATGAAAATGGCGCACTCAAACACCATCCATGGCACTATTATCGTAAGGAAAACAGGTCGTTGATGTAAGAGTGCGCTGGAACCTTCAGAAATACGTGAATGCAAACAATGCGGTAGTGGCTTAGTTTCCTAATTATAATCATGCTCAAATTCTTATCTGAAAACATGCACATACTCACTTATAGAGGTATGCTTTTAGAATGTTGACTCACTACAAGAATTAATCAAATTAGCTAAGGACTTGCGAAAACATTTCCGTAGCCAAGTTTATTAGCTACAAATATTGCGAGAGATAGCGACGAAACACATAATTTTATTTTTGTTGCGAAATAGGTAGCTAATTGTAGCAATTCGTAGCTATATAGCCAAATACATATTCCGTAGGTGGTCTGTAGCAAAATGGTTGCCAAAATTATTCTATTTAACAACAACTAAATACAAATATATTTATTGATATATAGCAACTAAGTCTCTATTCTCACCATTCCATCGCTTAAAATGGTAGTTTAGTGAAGCAATGGGTAGACACATATGTTAACTTTTTCAAGGACTATGTATGTAAATTTCTATAGTGTATATCATTGTGGCAATGATCAGTTATATAATAAGGTCAAGAGTAGTTCTTCTTTCATCTCTCTTGTCCTAGACATGTTCTATAACTCTTTAACTGCAATACTAGTTTAAGCTTTTGTAATGAGAAAAAAAGTTGTTCACAAAACAGATAATACCATGTCTTTTGTAAATTTTCTAATTTTTTATTTTCCTTTTATGTTTGGCATTGTTATAATAAGTAACAAAATTTCGTATTTATTATTTTTTTGCTAAGTAAAGTTAAAAAAATGTTTCAGAAATTTTATTATTTGATGATGTATATATGTCCAATTCCCTTTTCAATTTAACGTTAGTAACTTCCCAAACCCCAAACTCCAAACACAATCCCTAAACTGTATACTGTATAGCATGAAAATCACGAGTCTTTTGGTCCCAGAGCAAAAAAAAAATCCACGCCAAATTTTCGTGTTAGCCGCACAAATTTTTACCAAATTTTTCATTGTCCGCCATAAATCTTTTTTTCCTAAATCTTTGCAAAAATATTCCCACTCTTATCTTCTTCTTCAGTAAACACTCTCTATGTCTCTCCCACTCTTGCTTCTCCTTTACGAAAAATGACACAACTTCTCAATGTATCACTTTTTTTTTCTTCCAAAATCTCCTGTGATAGGTTCTTCTTTACTCATGTGTGTTCAGATTTAATCATTGGGTGTTTTTATTTCGAAATCGGTTCAGGGTTTACTTCTTATATTATCTCTGTTTCCAATCAGTTTAGGGATTGTCTTCCTATCGATTTGGGGGTGATTTCTTATATCAATCTCTGCCTATTTTAATCAGTTTAGGGTTTATGTTTCCAAATCGATTTGGGGTTTATTTGCCTTTTGGAGGTTGATGTACTTATACTGAAATATGCTTATGCTTCAATACTTCTTCAAATGGATGCGTCTTTGATAAAATCTTGCTCTTCAGTTTTAGGTATTTGAGATATGATATTGATCGTTGTATGAATCAAAGGCGGAAACTGCAGAGTCAGAAGGAGTCGCATCTTTGGTGTTGTTAAACGGCAAATAAGGTTGACATTTGTGATTAAAACCTTGAAATGATTCCCAATTTGCTATTGCTTACACCTTCTTCTCCTTATGGTTGTTTTGTAGAGATGGATGAGATACCTTTATATACGTCTATTTGTAGCTACAACTCTCCTACAATAACAAATGTAAGATCTAATCTATCTCTATTTGTGGATCCTCATATATTTTCTTATACTTTCCACTCCAACTGTAATACTAAACAGAAAGATGTTGACAAAAACTCAAATAATGGAAATAGATTAATTCATTTGTTTTCCTACAAAGAAGAGGGGAGAAGGCTCCATGGATTCTAGTGGGAAGGCTGGAACTGATATGTAATGCAAGCAATATAATCCCCTCCCACCTAAATGCTTACAGGTTAGTCCACTATTGAATATTGATTAGCATTATCGTGATGTTCAACAAGCATGAAGAACCCTCATCATTTAAATACTTTAGATAGTGTTGCAAGTTTTGAAATATAGCATGTTAAACCAGCAGTCCTTTCAGTTGTCACATATCACTTTTTTATGTATTATGTTTGAATCTTGATCTCTTTGTATTATGTTTACAAATGCAGAGATACTTGTAGTAAGGTTTTGAATCTCGAACTTTTGGTGAGGAGTCGTAGCTTTTATTATAATTTTTACTTGTTGCTGATAAGCATATTACTTTTGTGTAGTGTTCCTCGACTAACCCTTCTCCATCCACAGATCCCGGCATCTACCAGCATATGAATTAAGATTCTGCCCCAAAAAGTAGATGAATCTGGATATGATCTAAAGCACTATATTTGTGACTTCTTGCAAGACCTCCAATATGATATTTTTGTTTGTAGTTTGAAATTTTGCTATGTTTTGTTTCACTTTTTAGATTTTAATTTTTTTTTGTAAACTTTATGATCAAATACATTTTTAGTTATATATAAAGATTTAGTTTTTGTTTGTCGTAATCTGTTAATATATATTATGGCCACTGCACAGAGATGGAGTTGGGAATGAGCTATAGCGTCTAGTGTCTCCCTATCTGCAAGATATCAACATGCAGTGGTATGAAAACTTCTTCCTCTTTGATAGATTTGAGCTGATGTTTGACAAAAGATGGCATCACAACAACATCATTAGAAATTGTTGATACGTTAGGGTGTTACTTGATGACATATTAGTGACTGAGGATCTTTCCTCTGTAGAGATAATCTATGCTGCTTTTCATGATGTTTACCATGAAGACGCTTCATCCTGAACTTTTCAGAAACTTAAGAAAATGCAAGTACATAAAATTTTGATAGATGTTTCGGTACCGTGAGGATCCTGTTAAAGTTTTCGTCTTGCAAAACCAATGGTCATGCAAGTGGCAGATGAAAGCGTCTTCAAGCTGGGTATGTTTGCGCAAGCTCTTCATCAGAACAATTGAGCGGACGCATTTATAAATCCCACAGTCAGTCGTCCTCCTCATTATAATCCTCCTAAAATCAATAGCATTTCGTCGGAATACTATTTCGTGGATTGGATTTCACTTGACTGTCTATGGTGCTGCGAGAACCCCGTATTTCTTCTATACAATCTCCTAACTGTTTTGGCAAAGAATTTTAAGAGACCTGTCAATTTAAGCTTCCACAGCGAAAAACTAGACTAGATATACTTAACTATAGTTTACAGAAGTTTAAGAAACTCTACTGACCACATCACCAATCTCGACCTTATAATCCAACTATATTTAGTTCCCAACTTAGAACGGAATTTAATTGCAAACATAAAACATTGCACCCTTCGCTAGATGGTGTTCAAAATCCAAACCGGTGCAAGTTAGTTTCACGAGGTAGTCTTTACTTAGTAAAATGATTTATATGTTCACTTAGACCAATTAAAAAGAGGATAAAATAGTACAAAAATCTGGGTAAAATTATCTAACCACTACATCCCATTCGTCACGATTTCAGAAATATACATAAAACTCATAGTTATTAATTGGTAATGAAAGAAATTGGTGCGGGGTTGACGATTCCTAGTACTTCTAA